ATGCACCGACAGCTACTGTAAGCATCAATCTCCCGAACTGCAAACTACACGAATTCACCAACTCCCGAACAGGAGACCCACGAATACTGGAAACCGCCGAACAGGAAAAGCATACAATCAGCTTACACTCCTGGCAATCAGCATACAATCCAATTCCCCCAATAACGAGACGACACTTCGTTTTGAGGGTCAAGCAGGAACTGATTTACTGGGGCTACCTGCCCGGCTTTTAAGCAGGCCTCCCACCTAGTGGACACTCCCCTAGGGGACCAGATGGAAAACATATTGGACATTGACCAATCACAGACATACATCTTTAAACACTCCCACAATTCATCACAATCCCTCCTCTCTGTCCTGGAGGTAATTGGGAAGTAATCCAATTATCTCCAAGGACAGAGGCAAAACTCCATTAGCCACATGGCAGACAAAGGACAATAAAAGACATAAAATTACATACTGTTACATTTATCACATAGAACATACACATTCTACCTATCCCCAGATAGCTTAGATCTGAGCGCACATTATTACCGGATGGTGCTCAGATCACATACATACAGTTCAATCGCCATGGAGCCAAAGTCTTTCATACAGTCTTTCAGTATACGGCTGGGCTCCATGGCATAGCTATCTGGGGTAGCATGGCTTTAACAGTCTGCAGAAAGGCACAAATACGCTTTTCTGCAGGGAAAATAAATAGTTTTAACTGCCGGGCCATAGTCTAAAGGGAGCAGGTGAGCAACCAGGCTCCTCCAGTGGACAGTGGCGAGGCTGGTTTCGCCACATTTCTCCCCTTTACCATCTGACCTCCTGTCGGTCAGTGCCCTGGTTAGTCCAGCAACCCACCCACAAAACAGAATCCGCAGTATAACCCACCCACCAGAATTGGTTACTACACCTGGGGTAGTGGGTAGTTTGTCCATGTCCAGGAGCTCCACCTCGGCTCTGGGGGGGTACTAGCGTTCCGGATCGGTGGGTTGCTGAGTGGGCAGAGACCAGTGGTACTCTGCCCTGCTGCCAGCGCTACCATGGGAGTAGCCTGGTTGGAGCCCAGTTGAGGGAATGGCGTAAAAGGCTCCTCACTCTGGACCTGGTACTGCTGCTGGAGGGCAAGACAGGCTGTCTCCCCTTTGGATGAACATCCCTGCTGCCGGGGAACAGGACCGACCATCCCTAGCCCTTGTGAGGCATGTGCAGAGACCACGGTCCCATCTGCACTGGTGTGGGGCTTATCATCTCCCCTTGGTGGGCTAGGCTGCTGTTGGGGAGAGGGGGTAGCAAGTTCCTCTCCCTTACCCACTTTCTGTCGCTGGGGAGAGGGGATGACAAGCTCTTCTCCCTGACTCTCTCTCTGCTGGTGGAGGGGGGGACCAACTGTCTCCCCTTTCAATATACTGTCCTGCTGCTGGGGGACGAGACCGACTGCCTCATCTGCCCCATCTGGGAGAATAGGGTCTCCCCTTTGGGAAATAAGCTGGCGCTGGGGAGAGGTGGTCACCGACTCCTCTCCCTGGAACCCTTTCAGCCGCTGGGGAGAGGGGGTAGCAGGCTCCTCTCCCTGACACTCTTTCTGCTGGTGGAGAGGGGGACCGACTGTCTCCCCTTTCAATATTTTGTCCTGCTGCTGGGGAGCGAGACCGACGGTCTCTGCTCCCTGCAGGACACCCTGCCGCTGGGGAGGAAGGACAGCACCTTCAGCTCGCTGTAAGATAGACTGCCGCTGGGGAGGAAGGACGACACCTGCAGCTCCCTGTAACACACACTGCCGCTGGGGAGGAAGGACGGCACCTTCAGCTCCCTGTAATACACAATGCCGCTGGGGATGAAGGACTACACCTTCCGCTCCCTGTAATACACACTGCCGCTGGGGATGAAGGACGACACCTTCAGCTCCCTGTAATACACACTGCCGCTGGGGAGGAAGGACGACACCTTCAGCTCCCTGTAACCCACACTGCCGCTGGGGAGGAAGGACGGCACCTTCAGCTCCCTGTAATAAACACTGCCGCTGGGGATGAAGGATGGCACCTTCGGCTCCCTGGGACTCACACTGCCGCTTAGGAGGAAGGACGGCACCTTCAGCTCCCTGGGACACACACTGCCGCTGGGGAGGAAGGATGGCACCTTCAGCTCCCTGCGACTCACACTGCTGCTGGGGAGGAAGGACGGTACCTTCAGCTCCCTGTGACACACACTGCCACTGGGGAGGAAGGACAGCACCTTCAGTTCCCTGGGACTCACACTGTCGCTGGGGAGGAAGGACGACACCTTCAGCTCCCTGTAACCCACACTGCTGCTGGGGAGGAAGGACGGCACCTTCAGCTCCCTGTAATGCACACTGCCGCTGGGGAGGAAGGACGGCACCTTCAGCTCCCTGGGACACACACTGCCACTGGGGAGGAAGGATGGCACCTTCAGCTCCCTGTAACCCACACTGCCGCTGGAGAGGAAGGACGGCACCTTCAGCTCCCTGTAATACACACTGCCGCTGGGGAGGAAGGACGGCACCTTCAGCTCCCTGGGACACAAACTGCCGCTGGGGAGGAAGGACGGCACCTTCAGCTCCCTGCGACTCACACTGCCGCTGGGGAGGAAGGACGGTACCTTCAGCTCCCTGTGACACACACTGCCGCTGGGGAGGAAGGACGGCACCTTCAGCTCCCTGGGACTCACACTGCCGCTGGGGAGGAAGGACGGTACCTTCAGCTCCCTGTAACTCGCACTGCCGCTGGGGAGGACGGACGGCACCTTTCATCTCCCTGTAACTTACTTGGCCGCTGGGGAGGAAGGACGACACCTTCAGCTCCCTGTAACACACACTGCCGCTGGAGAGGACGGACGGCCCACCCCCTTGCCCGCTCTGATTCCAACGGCAAGTACTCTCCCACTATTTTCCTCATGAACTGTACGGTTTTCTCCGGGGGACTGGGTCCATAGAAAGCCAGCAGCGCGGTAACCTCTCTGTCAAACGCCTCCTGAGTGTAGTTGGGTGCCATGCTTGCTCTGCTGAAGTTGCTTCTTTTGTAGATAGGGTCGCTGTACGGGTACTAGCGTTGCCCTCAATTTGTAATCCAGGAACTGGTGTTGTCTTGTAGCTGTCCTTCTGGGCTGTGGAAATGATCCCGTCGCTTGCCACCAATTGTAACGGACCGTTTTGCATACAAGAGGTTAAAAACTGTTTAAGCGATATTCCCCTTTCCAGATGCACCGACAGCTACTGTAAGCACCAATCTCCCGAACTGCAAACTACATGAATTCACCAACTCCCGAACAGGAAACCCACGAATAATGGAAACAGCTGAACAGGAAAAGCATACAATCAGCTTACACTCATGGCAATCAGCATACAATCCAAGTCCCCCAATAACGAGACGACACTTTGTTTTGAGGGTCAAGCAGGAACTGATTTACTGGGGCTACCTGCCCGGCTTTTATGCAGGCCTAACAACTGTTGGACATTCCCCTAGGGGACCAGATGGGAAACATATTGGACATTGACCAATCACAGACATACACCTTTAAACACTCCCACAATGTATCACAATCCCTCCTCTCTGTCCTGGAGGTAATTGGGAAGTAATCCAATTATCTCCAAGGACAGAGGCAAAACTCCATTAGCCACATGGCAGACAAAGGACAATAAAAGACATAAAATTACATACTGTTAAATTTAACACATAGAACAGATAACTTAGATCTGAGCCCACATTATTAATGGATGGCTCTCAGATCACATACATACAGTTCAATCGCCATGGAGCCAAAGTCTTTCATACAGTCTTTCAGTATACGGCTGGGCTCCATGGCATAGCTATCTGGGGTAGCATGGATTTAACAGTCTGCAGAAAGGCAAGAATACGCTTTTCTGCAGGGAAAATAAAAGGTTTTAACTGCTGGGCCATAGTCTAAAGGGAGCAGGTGAGCAACCAGGCTCCTCCAGTGGGCAGTGGCGAGGCTGGTTTCGCCACACAGTTTTGGACGGAACACCAGTAAAGGAGGGAAGTAGGCAGCAGACCTGACAGATAAGTGGGCAGCAGATCTGGCAGGGTATAAAAACACAATAGGGCCCAAGGGGACAGCAAACAAACAAGGTGGGAAAGTAACAGAACTGGAGGTAAGAGTAAAGTGTGGCCCTTTAGGAGAGAGCAAGACAGGTTTGTGAGATAGAAGTCACTCTTGGAGGCCGTAAACATTTTTGAACAGATGGGTTTTGAGGGACTTCTTAAATGATTGAAGACTAGGGGAGAGATTGATGAGGGTAGGAAGACTGTTCCAAAGGAAAGGAACCACTCGCAAGAAGTACTGCAAGAGCAAATTAGCAGTAAGGGTGCGAGCAGCCGACAGGAGTAGGTCACCGGCAGAGACCAAGAAGGGGCGTGCCTATGAATCAGTGAAACTAAAAATATAGTACGGCTTCTGTGGGGACCAGTTAGTAGGGAGACCAGTTTGTACTGCAACCACAACTGCATACTATATGGTACAGAAAAATATGGTTAGTTAGTAATACTACAAACCGAAAATCAAGAACCAGGTTGGTATGTATAAATGGATTTATTTACATTAATAAAAAAAATGTATAAAATATAAAAACAATAAAAGGTCACTGGTCCAACGTGTTTCTTCTCCATAGAGAC